GCTGAGAGTTTAAGATTCTAGTTTTAAAAAATGGTATCTGAATCAATCTCTCAATAACTTGACATACAAACAGGTATGTGTGTTTTAATAAAAAGCAATGTATTGGAAGTAATATACTTAGTTTCTAAAAGTTTTAAGATGTTATTATGAATATAAGGTTTAATATCCCTATGCTGTTCACTGTGTATCAGTCTTTTTACTCGTAAATCGTAAGCAATTAAATATAAACAGTTTCAGATAGTGGTTCCTATAGTACCTGACACACAATGGAAATTTAATAAATCAATTGAATTTGAATTGTTAAATTTTATAAATGTACTACTTAGTAAAATTAAAAACTTGTACTTTAAAACGCATTTAAATAGTTGTTAGAATATGTCATTTTATTTTCTAGTTAAATGATCTGATCTATTTAATATTTAAGCCTAATAGCATAATTAATTTTGAGTATGTTCTCACAGACTTGGATGTAAAAGTCAATAAACAGACCCTTGCCACTTGTGTGAAGTGGCTATTTAACCATGAAATAAACTATTTTTATTGCCATTGCCCTGTGGATATATTCTTTCTGGCAGTGCTGTCCATATTTGGTGGCTGTGCATGGAGAGCCAGGTGGTGCTGAAAAGCATCGCACAGTGAAGCGTGGATATATCTAGGTTCGACATTTGTCATCCCTTACTGCTGAAGGGAAGGGTAAAATCTGTTTTTCCATATGTTTATGCTTTTTTTTCTTGCCCGCAGTTTTGTCCAGATGGTCTTATGAACATTGTTTACTTTAGGATGCTATCCCAGATGTTTTGAAAACTGATGGGTAAATGTGGTACAGAGATTTGCATGTTACAGTTTTAAAAAATGCTGTTTGTTCTTGTAAGAATAAAATTTATTTCTGGAAAAATAAAACATTTATTCCAAGTGAATGATAAATACTGTAAAATACAAAAACATATATGTGTATATGTATATATGTTGTATGGTTAATATAATCTATATAGTTTATTTTCCCCAACATTTTTTCATGTTAATTAGCAAAAAAACATTATGGCAATGTTAAGTATAAGAAGTACTTTTGAGGAGTCATTTTTTCAGGGTTACATACACCTAAATATGTAAGACTCTTGCCTCCCAATCTTTTATAATTCTCATTGTGCATGAATCACTGAAGAGAAATTAGGTGGTAAAATGACAATAGATTTATAGTCAAAAGATTGTCTTTAAGACTTTGGGCAAATTACTTAACATGTTGGAGACTGGGTTTTGTAAATGTAAAATCAGAGTAACAACCTTGCCCAAAAAGATGGACTAATGCTTGGATTTAATTACTCTATCATCTTTAATCTCTTAACAATCACTATGAAGCCATCTAGTGGCAATTGCTGTTAATGAGAGCTGAAACCTGCTTTAGGCTCTGCTTGGGATCTCAGTATAATTAAGAGGTAGACTGCTCTTATTCCCAAACCCAGCCGGGATCCATATGGGGCCTCCTCTTGTTTGCGTAGTGCTTCCTTTTTTTTTTTTTTTTTTTTTTAAATGTTTATTTTTGAGAGAGTGCGCGTGAGCAGGGGAGGGACAGAGAGAGAGAGGGAGACACAGAATCTGAAGCAGGCTCCAGGCTCTGAGCTGTCAGCATAGACCCCAGTGCAGGGCTCGAACCCACGGACCATGAGATCATGACCTGAGCCTAAGTCAGATGCTTAGCTGACTGAGCCACCCAGGCACCCCTTGTGTAGTGCTTCTTAACCACTGACTGGCTTTTTTCATTTGCTTTCACATTTGCTTGCAGGTTGGAATATTGTCTTTGCTTTTTTTCCTGCTTTTCCTTTTCTCCATTGGCTGGCCTCTGCATGTCAGTGACTTCTCCATTGATTGTACCAGCCTTTGCCCCCAAGCTTTAGTATGGGACTTAATTCTTATCACATGTTTTAATATATGGAAGACAGGAGAAGAGATCTATCTTGCTAGTTCTTTTCTGTGTTAACCCAGAACTCTAGGGTTGTGATAAGATGTTACCACATGTTAAAAAGAAAAGCCACAGTGGCGCCTGGGTGACTCAGTTGGTTAAGTGTCCGACTTTGACTCAGGTCATGATCTCATGGTTTGTGGGTTCAAGCCCTGCATTGGGCTCTGTGCTGACAGTGTGGAGCCTGCTTGGGATTCTCTCTCTCTCTCTCTCTCTCTCTCTCTCTCTGTACCCCTCCCCCACTCTCGCTTTCTCTCTCTCTCAAAATAAATAAATTTTAAGCAAAGAATTAGCTGAAAGAATACAATTAAGAAAAGCCAAAAAGATAGGAGAACCACAGTCAACATAAAAGGCAAGTTCATATTAGCAATTCAGAAAATCCAGTTAGAAATAAGAGATAAACTTGAAGGGGGGAAAAAACCAGGAAGTTATAGGAAATGATTAAAAGTGAGGACGTATAAACAATGGACATGAAGAATAGCTTATGAAGATCTGGATTTTGGCACAAATAACAATTCTCTGGTCTGTCTTCACACACTTACATAGTGCTTACCTTGCTGGGTACTTTGCAGATAGCAGCTCTGCATTTAATCTGAAAACATTATAAGAAAATGTGTTGGGGCACCTGGGTAGCTCAGCTGGTTGAGCATCTGACTTTGGCTCAAGTCATGATCTTGCGGTTTGTGAGTTTGAGCCCTGTGTCAGACTCTACTGACAGCTCAGAGCCTGGAGCCTGTTTTGGAATCTGTGTCTCCCTCTCTCTGCCCCTCCCCAATTCATGTTCTGTCTGTCTGTCTCTCTCTCAAAAAATAAATATTAAAAAAAAAGAAAGAAAATGTGTTAATAACCCCCCTCGATTGATGCCTTTTTTTGGCAAAAGTCACAGGTGCCAAGTCAAACCTTATTTGAACCAACAGGGTGTGCATGACATCAGTCTGCCCTTACCCAAGATTAAAGTTTCTCTTTATGGTGTTTGCTGCCTGCTTCTGTCCCTGAACACAGAGCTACCTCCAGCATCTGTTCATCTTCCTCAGTGCTGTCATATAGAAGGGTAGGATGGGAGGGGATGTCTTAACTTACTCTTAAGAACTCATCAGAAGCTGGGGTGCCAGGGTGGCTCAGTCGGTTGGGCGGCCAACTACAGCTCAGGTCATGATCTCGCGATCTGTGAGTTCGAGCCCCGTGTCGGGCTCTGTGCTGAGAGCTAGGAGCCTGAAGCCCGCTTCCGATTCTGTGTCTCCCTCTCTCTCTGCCCCTTCTCTGCTTGCTCTCCGTCTCTCTGTCTCTCTCTCAAAAATAATAAACAATAAGGAAATTAAAAAAACTCATCAGAAGCTTAGAGGGTCAAGTTTCTACTGGATCTCCTGTTTAATCTGGTACATTTTTCATTTACATTAAATTTTTATTATGGATGTTCTCGCCAACATCACAGCCCTGTGGAAGAAAGAGTAGAGACGTTTTCTGATCCCCACCCATCTGGGGAGATAGCCAAATATTTAAAAGTTAATTAGCAATGCAAGACATTATATCAGTATTAGATGAATAAAATGTATAATTGTGAAGAATTACAAAATCTGAAAGTTGAAAGGAATTTAAAATAATATTTCAGTTAAAACCAAAAGATTGGAGAACTTGGCAATTTCCCATCAAACTTCAAATTATATTTTGATTCAGAAAATAATGTGCTGTTAATATGTATGATCAATCATGTCAGTTAATGTTAGAAATTATTCATTTTCATATTGTTTTTAAACATGATGAATTGATATTATAATGCTCAAATCTGTATTAATTATACAAATCAGTGAGCCCAAAACATGCACTTATATGCCAAACATATAGGTGTTTTTTTTTGTTTTTTTTGTTTTTTTTGCATCTAAGGCATGTCCTAGCTTTCTTAAAGAGCTGCACCACAGAGTCACTATAAAAACACAAAAGTCCCATCAGTTTAATAATAATGAAAAACTCCAAAAATGGCAAACTGAGGGGGCAGGGAAGAGGCCCATAGGCCAGGGGCACAGGAACCCTGCTCATGGCATTTGGCCTGGCCACAGGGCCCTGGTCCCTGGTGTTTTACTTTTTTATAATATAGTTATTAATTTTTTAAACTTTTTATTTTGACAATTTCAAACTTACAGAAAAGTTGCAAGAATATAAAAAAATGCCACCATCTGGTGATTTTCCAGTTCCATCATTTCTTCTATTTATTAGTTGGCATTCTCTTGTAAGGAAAAGTTTTTCTCTTTTCCTCCCGTTAAAAAAACCTATTATCCATTCAGATCCATTCTCATTTTGCTCAGTGAATAATAAACTATTAGTACCCTTCTTTATTTTGATATTCAAATTTTCCCAGATTGGACCACTCAAAATGGTGTGTATTTTGACATACTCATCAGTTTTTTTGAACACTTCCTTATTTTCTAGCACAATAAAAATGTTATAGGTTTATTTTGTTTCTTTGCTGCCCCAGGTTTAGAATCAGGAGTCTTGATTTCTTTATTATTTTTTTCAATGTTTATTTATTTTTGAGAGAGAGAGATAGAGACAGAGCATGAGTGGGAGAAGAACAGAGAGAGACATAGTATCTGAAGCAGGCTCCAGTCTCTGAGCTGTCAGCCCGGAGCCCGATGTGAGGCTCAAACCTACAAGCTGTTGAGATTATGACCTGAGCTGAAGTCAGACACTTAACTGACTGATCCACCCAGGCACCCCAAGGAGTCTTCATTTCTTTTTGTGGGGAATGGTATTTAGGAACCAAGATCTGGATGTTCTCTCCTTATTTTTGTTACTTTATTCTTTTTAAATTTTTAATTCATCTGGAATTCATTCTTCATTATGGTATGAGGTACAGATGTGTATGTCAAAATGAAAAATTATTTAGTAGGAGGATACCAACTAGAGACATTTATTTGTCCCTGACATCACTTCAGGGACAGTGATTCAAGGGGAAATGTTACTTAATTTTAAGTAATATATTTAAATTATTTTAAGTGATGGTTATTGAATTTTATATCTTATGTCAGTTATGTTTTCTCTAACTTAGGTGCATTCTCTAGAATCTTAAAACTTTATGAAGAAAAATATGAAGCAGGTGAAAAAAAGAAAGGAAGAAAAGGCAACAGTGTAACACCTGTGAAAGGAATTACAAATTTAGGAAATACTTGCTTTTTCAATGCAGTCATGCAGGTAAGAGCCATCAGGAAACTTTGTAAAATGTAAAAGATTAATTTATATTTATTGGCACACCTGTAAACTAGCAAATGACAGCTAAATGTTCCCCTGGAGATTTTTCTGTTTTCTTTTTTGTTTTAGGCCATCGTTAACCATTGCTGCATAACGTATGTATGCCCCCTTTTCACACAGTGCTTCTGGAAGGCCTTCTCTGTGTTTTACTGTGATTTAATCAGTAATACTGACATTTACTAAATGTGAACATTTTTTTTGTAAACTTAAACATTTTTTTGCTCTGTTAGATGACGTTTGAGAGCTTAAGAGAGTATTTATTCCATAGAATCAGAGGCATATTACAACTGAATCAGAAGACTTTACTTTTGTTTTCTTTTAGAACTTGGCACAATCTTATATTCTTTCAGAACTGATGAATGAGAGCAAAGAAAATGGTACAAAACTCAAGATTTTTCCTTCCTCAGACTCTCACCTGGTAAGAAGTATGACTACCTGGATAATAGCTCTTTTTAGATGAGCCACTGATGGTGTCAAAATCTACCTTTAGTATTTCTCCGAATGTTAACTGAAATGATGTTTTGAAAAAATATTTTGAAAAAATCATTCAAAAGCATTTTGTGAAATAATCAGATTTTAAAATTCTGAAGTTATACCTTCAAGATCTGTTAGGGTTCAAACATATCGTGGGTCAAACAATACAAAAATATTAAGGCAGCTTTCAAACAAATACACTGGAAAAAACAAAAGGCGTTTGTTTTGTTGAGCAAAATGTCTAGGACTCCTGTTTTGTAATTACTGGTAACATTTCCTTAAAGATAGCATTTTAATTCTTTAAAAGTAGATTTGGTATTAATGGTGAACATCTAAAGGTTTTTAGGAGCCTAGTCTGAAAATGGGTTTTTAAGCTAGTAAGAAAGGAAAAAACAAACAAACAAACAAAAAACAGCACTTAACATTCAGAAGCTGGGGTGGCACCTACAGTTAGGCCATATTGTTCAAACAGTCTGACAGAATGCCAACCTCAGGCTAGGTTGCTCTGAGACTGACAAACTAAGACAAAGCAAGGCTACTTCATAATTTTATCTAAACATAGACAAAAGCAAAGTTCGTCTACCACTGAGAAAAATCCCAAACATCTTCTTTGACCAAAGTGAGAGACTGCTACTTCTTTTTTTTTTTAATTTTTTTTTTCAACGTTTATTTATTTTTAAGACAGAGAGAGACAGCATGAACGGGGGAGGGGCAGAGAGAGAGGGAGACACAGAATCGGAAACCGGCTCCAGGCTCTGAGCCATCAGCCCAGAGCCCGACGCGGGGCTCGAACTCCCGGACCGCGAGATCGTGACCTGGCTGAAGTCGGACGCTTAACCGACTGCGCCACCCAGGCGCCCCAAGACTGCTACTTCTTTACTAGTTATAGCTTTATCCTTGATTTTGTCTCCCAAAGAGACTAGAATTTAGGTTATCCTAACTCAAAGATAAGATTTATCAAGATACCCAGTGATAGAATTACCCCCACTTTCTGACGGCATTCAACTGAGAGCAGACTTCTGCTTCCTTAGACTCTCCCCTAAATTACTTATCCAAAACTCAAATCCTCTATCAGTTCTTTCCAACACCCTTTTATTGAGACACCCCATGGTTTCCCATCGTGTATGTTGTCCCCAAATGCAACAAGTAATAAACCCCTCTTGTTCAACTACCAGTGTGTTCCTGGTGGTCTTTGGCTTGAGGGAGCTGACACTAGTAATAATGTTTTTAGTTAGAAATTGTGTGTGTGTGTGTGTGTGTGTGTGTGTGTGTGTGTGTGTATTGGAGGAAGACAGTGTATATATAGCTCATGATCTGGCTTTTGAGAACACTTAAGAAAGGGGAGTTCTAAAAATTCTTAGCTCAGTGTAGTAATCTTAGATTTTTCTTTTCCCCAAGGAGGCAGATTTGAAAGACGATATTGTATTTCTTTGTTGAAAGAGCAGCCTGTAAACTTACTGCCTGTTCAACCCCTTAAAATCTTTATGGTAGGTCCTATACTCTTCTAAAGTTGAGTGAGATAGTGAAAACCATTAAATGGAAGTTGATACTTAGTCACTTGAAAAGATTTCCTATTAAATGTGATTGAATGTTAAGTATTTTACATGTAGAACTGTGTCTCAAGATTATTATAGGGCAGTTAGATACTATAACTGATCACTTTAGGTTTGCATTATTCTAAGAGGAGAGTTTCAATCTTAGATCTTAGATACATAGGGCATACAGTTGACCTGAGCTGGAGGGCTGTCAGTGTAGATCACTGCTCTTTGAATCACCAGTTTTACTTTGCCCTTTGTAAACTGTATGCCTTTTGTTTCTTTTCCTTACCTTACTGTGCTGGCTTGAACCTCTAATAACATGTGGAATAGAAATGATGAAAGCAGGCATCCCTGCCTACAATCCCCAAATTAGGGGGAAAATATTCTTTCAATAACATTAGGAATGAAGTTAACTGTAGGTTTTTCATAGGTGTTCTTTTTTGTTTATTAATATCTGAAAGTTTGTACCTTTTGACCTCATTCACCCATTTTACCTACCCCCTCACTCCCTGGCTCTGGCAGCCACCAATCTCTTCTTTGTGTCTATGAGCATGTTTGTTTGTTTGTTTGTTTGTTTGTTTGTTTTTGGGTGTTTTGTTTTAAATTCTACATGTAAGTAAGTTCATATGGTATTTGTCTTTCTCTGTCTGACCTATTTCAATTAGTATGCCCACAAGGTCCATCCATGTTGTTTGCAAATGGTAGGATTTCATTCTTTTTTATGGCAGAATAACATTCCATTGTATAAGTATACTACATATTCTTTATCCATTCATCAGTTGATGGATACTTAGGCTGCTTCTATAATTTGACTATTGTAAATAATGCTGCAATAAACATAGGGGTGTGTGTATCCCTTTGAATTAGTGTTTTTATATTCTTTTTAAAAAAATTTTTATATATTTGTTCATTTTTGAAAGACAGAGAGCACAAGCAGGGGTGAGGCGGAGAGAGAGGGGGACACAGAATCTGAAGCAGGCTCCAGGCTCTGAGCTGTCAGCACAGAGCCCGACATGGGGCTCAAACGCACGGACCATGAGATCATGACCTGAGCTGAAGTCGGACCCTCAACCAACTGAGCCACCCATGAGCCCCTAAATTTTTTTTTTAATGTTTTTATTTATTTTTGAGAGAGAGAGAGAGAGAGTGAGCGAGCACGAGCAGGGAGAGGGGCAGAGAGGGAGGCACAGAATCCAAAGCAGGCTTCAGGCTCCGAGCTGTCAGCACAGAGCCTGATGCGGGGCTCAACCCATCAACAGTGAGATCAAGGCCTGAGCTGAAGTCAGATACTTAACAGACTGAGCCACCCTGGCATCCCAGTGTTTTTGTATTCTTTAGGTAAATACCCAGTTGAGTAATTACTGGATCATATGGTAGTTCTATTTTTAACTTCTTGAGGAACCTCCATACTGTCTTCCAGAGCGCCTGCACTAGTTTGTATTTCCACTAACAGTGCACAAGGGTTTCTTTTTCTCCACATCCTCACCAGCAGTTTTTTCTTTTATTTTTGATTTTAGCCATTCTGACATGTGTGAGGTAATATCTCATTGTAGTTTTGATTTGCATTTCCCTGATGATGAATGATGTTGAGCATCTTTTCATGTGTCTGTTGGCCATCTGGATGTCTTCTTTGGAGAAATGTCTGTTTATGTCTTCAACATGGCAGAGAGCACTTTTGATACTCAGAGACTATGGAAAAATTATAGCCTGTCCTTTCTGTGGTTTTAGTCAGATGGTAGATTTAAAAAAAAAAAAAAATTTTTTTTTTAATGTTTATTTTTGAGAGGTGGGAGGGAGAGGGGCAGCAAGAGAGGGAGACACAGAATATGAAGCAGGATCTAGGCTCCAAGCTGTCATCACAGAGCCTGATACAGGGCTCGAACCTATGAACCGTGAGATCATGACCTGAGCTGAAGTCAGATACTCAGCCCGCTGAGCCACCCAGGTGCCCCAGATGGTAGATTTTTTTTTAAGGGTAGTTGGTATGAAATATATATGTAACATGTATTTCATAAATACACGAATGAGACAACATATTTGGTAGTTGTATTAGAAGATCACTTTCTATAATGTCCCAAGATGATATTTGGCATTTGCTTTTAATTCATTGTTTGTAAGGAGAGAGGATTACTGGTGAAGATAACATTTTAGAAAGCAAAACTTGGTGGGGGAAAAATTTTAGAATAAAATGGGTTTCTCCCTCACACAATTTTAGCTGCTTTTGTCAAGCTTTTTCTCTCCATTTTAAAAGAGAGGGAATGGTGTACTAATTTTGTGACATAATTTCCCATTCCTTATTTTATTCATAAAATGTTTTGGGAAAAGAAAGCTATGGAGTTTGCTAATAAATATAATTTATCATTATATTTGATAAATATAATTAAATATAATTTATGATTGGAAATAAATACATATCAAGTAGATAAGTAATTTCACTTTTAGGAAAGCACATTAAGGGACATTTATAAGCAACTAAATATTGGTGATTTAACTCTTAAACTAATACTTTCATTAAAGAGCAGAGGATATGAGAATACCTGTGTTTTTCAAGGTAAGACACTTAATTCCATTATCCCATTTTTTTAAACATTCATTTTATATGTGTGGGAATAAAGTTTCTTAATGCACTTGAGGCAATTTAGTTGTCATTTAAACAAAGTATAACTCTTAGTTTTTAATAATATTTAAGTTTAAAATTGCATATTTCTGACCAAGAGTTGATCATGTTTTTAAAGGACCCATTAATGGTGGAACTTTCAAGCCCTGGACCATTGACCTCAGCCCTGTTCCTGTTTCTTCATAGCATGAAGGAGACTGAAAAAGGACCACTTTCTCCTAAAGTTCTTTTTAATCAGCTTTGTCAGAAGTGGGTGCATCTAAATTTTTGATATAAATAATTATGAGTTATAAAATTCTAATGTATCACTTAATATGGGTAGTTTCACTCTTACTATAACACTATTATTGTCTAGACTCTCAAGAGATTAAGAACTAATATTTGTTTAATTGCAGCTGTGTGCTTTATGTAAATTATATCTCATAATACTCTGAAGAAGTGCTTGTTTATCCCCATTTTATAAATAAGGAAACTGAGACTCACAGAAGTTGAGTAGCTTACTTAGTTGTATAGTGACAAAGCCAGGATTCAAATAGAGGTCTGTCCTGATTCAGAAGCCCATGATGTAAGAACAAAGAGTAAGAAAACTATAGAATTGTAAAATCTAAAAGGTGCCATAATAGGTCATCTGAACCTAGTTTTCTTATTTTTACTTTTATTATCATTTTTAAGTATACTCAACCTGCAATATGGGGCTCAAGCTCATGACCCCAAGATCAGGACTTGCATGCTCTACCAACTGAGCCAGCCAGGTGCCTTCCTTATTTTTATCATTTTTTAAAAAATGTTTATTATTTTGAGAGAGAGAGAGGCAGAGAGAGGGAGAGAGAGAATCCCAAGCAGGCTCCAGGCTGTCAGCGCAGAGCCTGAAATAGGGCTTGATCTCATGAACCGTGAGATGACTACCTGAGCCAAAATCAAGAGTCAGACGCTTAACTGACTGAGCCACCCAGGTGCCCCTTTCCTTAGTTTTAGAAATGAGCTTCAAGGCAAATAGAGTTTAAGTGAATTTCTCAAGATAGTACTGTATGTTCAAAAACAAAATCCTTGGGTACGTGGAAATACATACATACCATAAAGGACCTGATGCAACTTTAATGCTTTCACTTATTCCTTCATCTGAAAAAATTGAGAACTGGGGCGCCTGGGTGGCTCAGTCGGTTAAGCGTCCGACTTCGGCTCAGGTCACGATCTCACTGTTTGTGAGTTCGAGCCCTGCGTCGGGCTCTGTGCTTACTGCTCAAACCTGGAGCCTGTTTCAGATTCTGTGTCTCCCTCTCTCTCTCTGACCCTTCCCCATTCATGCTCTGTCTCTCCCTGTCTCAAAAATAAATAAAACGTTAAAAAAAAAATTTTTTTTTAAAAATTGAGAACTTATTTGTGTCAGTTACTTGCTAGATTCTAGGGATACACAGTGTATAACATATTAAAAATAGATCCTGTCATGGAGTTCATGAGCTAGTCCAGTCCACAATTACTAAAATATGTAGAAACAAAATTCTTTTTTTTTTTTTTTCAACGTTTATTTATTTTTGGGACAGAGAGAGACAGAGCATGAACGGGGGAGGGGCAGAGAGAGAGGGAGACACAGAATCGGAAACAGGCTCCAGGCTCTGAGCCATCAGCCCAGAGCCTGACGTGGGGCTCGAACTCACGGACCGCGAGATCGTGACCTGGCTGAAGTCGGACGCTTAACCGACTGCGCCACCCAGGCGCCCCAGAAACAAAATTCTTTAAATGGGAACTTAACATTTTTTTTATATCTCTAGGCTTCAAAATTTCATTTTAATTTAAGCTAGTTACTTGTGCCATGGCATTATATTGTATTTTAGCTCATAGAATTGTACCAAGGTTAATTTTTTCAAAAATAATTGTGAAAAGAACACTTACCATGAGCTCTACCTTCTTAAATTTTTTCTTTTTTTCTCTTGAAGTTATTTATTTATTTTGAGAGAGAGAGAGAGAGGTGTGGGGGAGAGAATCTTAAGCAGGCTCTGTGCCAACAGCACAGAGCCCAACTTGGGGTTTGATCCCACCAGCTGTGAGATCATGACCTGCTTTGAAACCAAGAGTTGGAGACTTAACCTACTGAGCTACCCAGGCACCCCTACCATCTTAAAATTTTTAAGTATACAGGGGCACCTCGGTGACTTAGTCGATCAAGCATCCAACTTCGGCTCAGGTCATGATTTCGTGGTTTGTGAGTTCAAGCCCGATGTTGGGGGCTGTGCTGACAGCTGACAGCTTAGATCCTGGAGCCTGCTTCAGATTCTGTGTCTCCCTCTCTCTGTCCCTCCCCTGCTTGCACTCTGTCTGTCTCTCTGTCTCTCTTTCTCAAAAAATAAACAAACATAAAAAATATTAAGAAATAAATAAACATTAAAAAAATTTAAGTGTACAAAATATTGTTGACTGTAGGTGCAATGCTGGACAGGAGATCTCTAGAGCTTGTCCATCTTGCTTGACTAAAACTTTATGCCTATTGATTATTCCTATTTTTCCTTCACTCCAGGCCCTAGTAGACAACATTGTGCTCTTTTATTTTATGAATTTGACTATTTTAGGTTCTTCATATAAATGGAATCACACTATTTGTCTTTCTGTGACTGGCTTATTTCACTTAGCATACTGTGCCGTGGTATTTTGAATGTGGTCAAAAATATAGAGGGTTTATTATGTGTTTAATTTAGTAGGCAAATGCTGTTTTTCAAAACCTGAAGAACAGAAAGTCCCATAAAAGTCTCAGAGACTTTGGTGCCTCACAGAGTTCAAAAGTTTTTAGGAATTTATGTCAATTAGAAATTTGTTTTTGGATCTCCAAAAATAACTGTTTTGCATTTTTTTTTTTGTTTTATAAAGATTTATAAATTAAAAAAATGTTTAAATAATAGGTGTTCATGGATAGACATTCAAAGTAGTATTTATCTTATTTTTTTCAAAAGTGATTATGCATACACAGACATATACACAGATTGTTTGCAACTTGTTTTGTTTAATACATTTTTTACATTTTTCCATTTTAGTGCATGTGGGTATGACTTACTTGATTTTACGTGTGTGTGTGCTGCACTTGTGAGAGTACATCAGTAGGATATATAGAATTACTGGATCAAACATCATTTGAAAATATTAAAAATTGCCTTTTGCTTTTTATGTTTACTTTAAAAAGAGATGTATATTGGGTGGCTCAGTTGGTTGAGCATCCGACTTCGGCTCAGGTCATGATCTCGCGGTTCGTGGGTTTGAGCCCTGCATCAGGCTCTGTGCTGAACACTTGCTCAGAGCCCAGAGCCTGCTTCAGATTCTGTGTCTCCTTCTCTCTCTGCCCCTCCCCCGCTCACACTCTATCTCACTGTGTCTCTCAAAAATCAATAAATGTAAAAAAAATTTTTTTTAAGAGATACATATTAAGAAAAGTAATTTTTAAAAACCTGGTGAAGATTTGAGCCATGTATGTTGAGTCTGTTTTGGGACTTTGTTCTGTTCCATTGATCTGCATGTCTATTCTTACCCCAGTCCTCCACTGTGTCAATTACTGTAACTTTATAGTAAGTCGTGGAATTGGAGAATGAGAGTTCAAACTTTACTTTTTTTTTTTTTAACTATTTCAAGTCCTTTGCTTTTTCACATGAATTTTACAATCAGTTTAATTGTGATTGCATTTGGAGATCAGTTTAGAATGGACATCTTAACCATGTTGTGTTCCAAAGCATGATTATGACATATCTTTTCAGTTATTTAGGTATTTGATTTTTCTCATCAAGTTTTGTGATTTTCAGCTTGCAAATGCTACACAATGTTGTTAGATTTACCTTTAGAATTTCATGTTTTTAAATACTATTTATTGTAAATTGGTACTTTAAAGAAATTTCAATTTCCAGTTATACGTTTCTAATATACAGAAATATACTTGGTTTTTGTATATTGATCTTGTTTCTTGCTGCTTTGTTTAATTCATTTACTGGTTATAATAGCTTCATGTAGATCTTTTGGGATTTCCTATGTAGACAATAATGTCATTGGTAAATAAAGACCATTTTATTTCTTCCTTTAAAATTTGTATCCTTTTAGACCTTTTTCTTACTTTATATAGCTGGCAAGGACCTCCAGTACAATGTTGGAGTGGTGAAATATGCATCTTTGCTTTGTTTCTGATATTAGGGGAGGAACATTCAGTCTTTCACACATAAGTGTGATAGCAGCTGTAGGTTTTTCGTAGATGCCTTTCATCAGGTTAAGGAAATTCCCATTCCTAGTTTTTTCTGAGGATTCTCATCAAGAATAACAGTATTTGATAAACTCCCAATACCCAATTTTTCCTTAAAAAACAACAAAACTTTATTATTTAAATAAATAAACATTATGTATTACCATTGGTATACTTTGATTCCTGGCCCAGAGAAACCATGAGATAATGAATGTTTTTTTCTTTTAAGAAAAAAGAACGGGTATTGGATTTTATTAAATGCTTTTCCTGCATCTATTGAAATAATCATATGGGTTTTTAAAAATCTGTTGAAACAGTGAATCGTATTAATGGGTGTTCTGAATAGTTTGTATATTTGACATACATTAAGCTGTACATATTTAAAGCATACCATTGGATAAGTTTTGAGATACTATATACATATATACGTATAATGTATATCTACATACTTGTGACACCATTGCCACAATCAGTGTGATGAATGTATGCATCACCCCTAAAAGTTTTCTTGGGCCCTTTTGTGATCCCTCTCTCTGGACTGTCTCCCCTAAACCCCTCCCCTCTGTACCACTTACCTGTTTTTGTCACTGTAGATTCGTTTGCATGTTTTAGATTCCTATATATAGTGTGTACTCTTTTTTGTCTGGCTTTTTGCTATAATTATTTTGAGATTCATCTACATTGTGTGTATACATTACTTGATTTTTGAAAGTTGAACTGTCTCTTGTAGTTTCTATTGTAAGAGTGATTATCAGACATTTCTACCTCTTGTGAATGTCGGGAGCAAATTCTTCAACTTTCTTCTGGATTCCCCACCCACCCCAATTCTTGTTATTTTGCAGTAGTTTTAAGGATCACAAGAAGTTGAAATAAGAGTACAGAGTTACTGTGTACCCTTTATTTAGCTTCCACTATCAATAATAACTTAAACAACAGTGCATTGTCAAAACCAGGAAATTGACATTAACACAATACTGTCAACTCTCCTACAAATCTTTCTTGGATTTCACCAGTTTCTACATGCATTCTTCCTTAAAAGGTTCAAAGATGCTCTAGAGTGATCGTTTCTTTATACTCATTTATGCCCATCTTTTGCTTTGTTTACTCCTTCACTCTTTTATGTTGGTAACTAATATTGATGTGCTGAGCTTTCTTTGGGTTTTGTCCATGAGGAAATACATATGTGTGTGTGTGTGTATATATGTGTGTGTGTGTATATATATATATACAAATATGCATGTGTATGCATATGTGTATACACATATATGTATATACACACACTACAAATATATATGTGTATACACATATACATACATATACATATTTGTAGTTTTGTGATACTCTATGGTATGTCATGTACATTAAGGAGTGCCACCAAATTCTCAAAATACTATTATCTTCTAATTTACTGGTTTGCCCTTCAACTGTGTATAGAATTTATCCTATCTATTGATTTTTATATCTGTAGTTTTATTTTCTTCTAATATTTTCAATTGGCTATCTTATCAATATCTACATATCCCTTAAAAAAGTTTTTCTTTTTGGGGCGCCGGGGTGGCTTAGTCAGTTACGCGTCTGACTTCAGCTCAGGTCATGATCTCATGGTTCATGAGTTCCAGCCCCACATCAGGCTCTGTGATGACAGCTCAGAGCCTGGAGCCTACTTCAGATTCTGTGTCTCCCTCTCTCTCTGCCCTGCCCCACTCGTGCTCTCTTTCTCTCTCAAAAATAAATAAACTTAAAAAAAAAAAAGTTTTTCTTTTTTACCTAATATCTAGGCTTTTATTGGCATGCCTTTATGTTTTTGTACATTCTCAACATATTGTAACATCTTTGGATCAGTTTTATAAAATTTATTTGGAGTGAAGTAAATGCATTTCAGTTGTTGATTTTTTAACATCAGATTTCTTTGTGTTTTATGATATTGGTTTGTAGGCTTCTTGGGAGTAGAATTTTTTGTTTGTTTTTTCCCATTTTTTCCCCCTTTGCTTTCTTCCATTTCCTCCACCCTTCCTTGTTTCCCCTGCTGCCTTTTTCACATCCTCTCCCTTCCATAGCCTCTTTTCCTCATATCCCTCTCTTCTCTGCCTAAAAATGTCAAATTTTAAGATAGCCTTACCTCTGAACTCTGGGCTGGCCTTGGAGATTGAGGTCTTGTATTGGCTTACAGTTACTCTGCTGCCCTCATCTGGGGGAGGTGAGAAGAGTCTATAGAAGGTTTGGCCTGGTTTCAGGTCTCTAGGCTAAGTATGTGTTCTCTTGTAGCCTTAGTTAGTATTTGCCTAAGAGCTTCCTTTCAGGCTCTTGGTAAGGTTGACCATCCACATATTTGTGGGTTCATTTCTGGGTTCTCTATTCTGTTCCATTGATCTATGTGTCTGTTCCTGTGTCAGTATCATACTGTCTTGATGATTACAGCTTTGGAATACAGCTTAAAGTCTGGAATTGTGATACCTCCAGCTTTGGTTTTCTTTTTCAGGATTGCTTTGGCTATTCAGAGTCTTTTGTGGTTCCATACAAATTTTAGGATTGTTTGTTCTAGCTCTGTGAAGAATGTTGGTGTTATTTTGATAGGGATTTCATTGAATATATAGATTGCTTTGGGTATTACAGATTCTTTAAGTCCTCTTAGAATTTTTGACCCAGTCCTAGGTAGAAGAAGAAAGAAAAAAAAAATCTAGGTTTGTTTGTTTATTTATTTTCAAGTTAGTTAACATATATGTCGTATTGGTTCCAGGAGTAGAATTTAGTGATTCGTCATTAATTTTCTTGAATGGTTTAGAAGGCAGTAACTGGTCTGTGGATAGTTGAGATGGAGCTGTAGGCAGAGACGTGGTAGAGAAAGTTTCTCCTTTGTTCAGGAACAATTTCCTTCCTGTGCATCTGCTTTGAAAGCCACAGACTGTTCCTCCTACCTGCAACATGGCAGATGAGGATCCCTGAAGGATTCCCGTTTGCCCCTTGCAATCTTCTTCCACTTCACTGAACTTCCTTGATGCCTACAGCACAAATGTCATGTCATGCAGTTTCTGCCTTACGTGGATTCCAGCCATGGAAGCCCAGATAGGGGTGAGAAATGTGTCCATCTTGGTTTCTGTCCTCTTCTCTGATCTAGAAGGTGATCTATATCCACCAAATGCAGAAAGGGAAGCCCACAAGGGCAGTAAATCAAAGTTCTCAGCATCCTTTTGCTTTTGCTACTACTTAACAAGAGTGAATAAATGAAATTACGGTTCCTATTATAGGCTAGATTCACTGCTAGTTCAGATAGCTTTTTAGCACCAGGGACTCTCATTAGTGCATTACTAGAATGAATGTTTATTATGAGATAATAAAGAATAATGCTTGAAGTACTGGACTCAAGAATCAAAAGACTTGGATTTATGTCAGTGGCACACAGATTGTTCTTCAGTTTTCTCAAGTGTAAAACAGTTCATCTTAACTGATTTCTTAACAGCACTGTTTTGCATATCAAATGAGATATGTTGGACATACCACAAGGAGAACATTGTAAACTTGTACTACAATAAGATATTCTTACTATTTTATATTACTTTGACAAAATTCTTTCTTCATCTTAGATCAGAGCACTATCTAAATTTAGCACTTATTTTCATTTCATTTTAGTATTGGAATTTATTGCAGAAAATACTGTTTTTTAAGGTTAATGAAATCAACTAAATATTTGCTGTGTTGATGTCTCCATGTACAGCACCTGAACCTTTAATTAATACGAGGAAATTTAGTTGTTAAATCCTTAAAATAAATACATTCACAGAGATATCAGATTATTGTTCTTTATTTAAATATAAATAACTTCTTGTTTTTCATTTGGTTATTCAGGGTAGGAAGATAATAGATCACAGTGGCTTGGGTTTGAGTACTATATTTTTGCTTGCTATGTGACCTTGCAAATTATTTGAATAATCCCTCTGAGCCCCCTGTATAAGCTGGAGAAAATAGTGCATCCCAAGCTTGTTTGAGGATTGATCTATGTAAAGCTTAACATATGTACTATGCTTGCATGTAGTAGTCACTTGATAAATGACAGCCATATTATTCTTTTTTATTTTATTTATTTATTTCAAGAGAGACAGAGAGGCAGAGAGAGGGAGAGAGAGAATCCCAAGCAGGTTCCATGCTATCAGTGCAGAGCACCATGTGGGGCTTGATCCCAAGAACCATGAGATTATGACCTGAGCCGAAATCAAGAGTCAGATGCTTAACTGGCTGAACCACCCAGATGCCCTGATAACTATATTATTTTCTGTGTACTGATGATCTCATCTTAATTGGAGCAATGATCATATCTGCTCTTTTTACCTAGTGGTAAAAGGACTATATTGAATCTTTGAATATATGTTATTTAAAAATGATTTTAGATGAGGGGCACTTGGGAGGCTCAGTTGGTTAAGCAATTGAGGTTTGTGAGATTGAGTCGTATGTTGGGCTCTGGGCTGACAGCATGGAGCCTGCTTGGGATTCTCTCCCTTCTTTCTCTCTGCCCCTCCAGAGGGGCCCTGCATGCACACACATGCGCACACACACACTCTCTCTCAAATACATTAATCATGTAAACATTCAAAAAAATTATTTTTGATGATAGTAATATATTGTTGATGAAATTATCTTTTTTCTTTCCTGTTTTGTTTTTAAATCATAGGGCCCCTCGATTTAAAGGTTTCCAGCAACAGGACAGTCAGGAGCTACTGCATTATTTGCTGGATGCCGTGAGAACAGAAGAAACAAAGGTCAGATTTCTTTAAATTGATTACATATACTCTTTAAGAAGAGGGTAAAAAATTGAAGGAGTTAATTTTTACCATAATTTTAATATGGATTGAGAAGTAATTTGATTTTTTCTAACTATTCTATTCCTTTATTTATTTATTTTGGCCAGTTCTTCTAAAATATTATTTTCTTTTATCCTTTTGCACCCCCCTTATCCTTTATTAGTTGATACCCTTTGACTGTAAATAACAAATAAATTCAAGCTAGTTTAAATAAGGAAAAGGGAAGCTAAGAATCTAGGTGACAGGAGGTATGGGTAGGGATATAGGGACAGGAAGGTTCTCAAGAATCCAGAGAATATTCTCCTCATTTCCCTGGCTCTGTAGATTTTCTTTATTCATTTTCCTGCAAACTGAGTAGTTTCTCAGCTTCTGTCTCTGAATGATAGCACATGACCTTCATATTTTGCACATGTTGCAGTTCCACGTATATAAAACCAAAATTGGCTGTTTGTGAATCCCAGCTCTGAAGAGAAACTCTGTTACCTCATGTTGGATTAGGATCCACTCAGGGATGAGTCACTGGTAACTAGGGGAATGGGATACAAGCCTCCTGGATCAGGGAATGTTTCTGAGAAAAGAAAAAGTGGCTCATGGCCTGGATAGATTTCCCCAAACAGTGTTCATTGTCATCCTGTCCCTTTATCGATTGGGTGGTAGTTGCCTGTAATATTAAATGAGTTAAATTCAACTTTTTTGGTGGGGACCTACGAATGGGATACAAGTTTTCAGAGAAAATGCAAGGTATTAAAGCTGTCAAGTACACAGCACATATCCTTCATTTTTCCTCTATCACTCATAGCAGGACATTATTAATCATTCATAATGGTTCTGCTGAGTCTGGATTCAGGCTCGGAATCATTCTCAACCTATCGCTGCAGGCATGCTATCTCAATCATAATTGTCACAATAGGTGAAATCCTGTTTTCCATTCAAGGTAAATATACTTCTTAATTTATGTTAATATGTAGCAGAGCAACGATGTGAAAATGAAGTACTCCTATGCTTGTGATACTAGGCAAGGTGGATCTTCCTCTTTTTGTTTTGTAAAATCTTATCTTGAGGGGTGCCCGGTGGCTTAGTCAGTTAAGCATAGGACTCTCTATCTTGGCTCAGGTCATGATTTCACGGTTCATGGGATTGAGCCGCAAGTTGGGCTCCGTGCTGACAGCACGGAGCCTGCTTCAGATCCCCCTCCCTCTCTCTCTGCCTCTCCCCCACTTGTTGTCTCTGACTCTCTCAAAATAAATAAATAAACTTAAAAGAATGAAAAATAAAATCTCACCTCGACTTGTAGTATTGTGGTATTCTAGTTTTCAGTAAATAAATAGGGTTCTGTTATTTTCTTTTACCTTAATGAGTTAATCACTCCCTCCTGCTACAGTGTTTATTATAGTTCTGTTCTTAATTGGCTATTTATTGACCTCTATGTTACATTAGTTAAATTCAGCTTTTGAAGGTGTCAGTCCTTTTCTGCCATCTCTCTACTTGACATATGTATATATTTAAGTTATATGTATCTGCATTATATATATTTAAGTTTGTGTTTTAATTCCAGTTAGTTCTACAGTGTTACATTAGTTTCAGATGTACAATACAGTGATTCAACAATTCCATACATCATCTGGTGCTCAACACAGCAAGTGTGCTCCCTAATCCCCATCACCTGTCTCACCCACCCCGCCACTCACTTCCCCTCTGGTAATCATCAGTTTGTTCTCTGTAGTTAAGGCTCTGTTTCTTGTTTTCTCTCTTTTTATTTCCCCTTTGCTCATTTTGTTTCTTGAATTTCACACGTAAGTAAAATCATATGGTATTTTTCCTTCTCTGACTTACTTCGCTTAGTTCCCTCTCTAGTTCCATCCATGTTGTTACAAGTGGCAAGATTTCATTCTTTCCTATAGTGGAATAGTATTTCATTTTAGAAGTGTACCACATTTTTATTCATTCATTCATTCATTCATTAATGGACACTTGGGTTGCTTCTGTAATTTGGCTATTATAAATAATACTGCAAACATAGGGGTATGTGTATCTATTTGAATTAGTGTGAATTTTGTATTCTTTGGGTAAAGACCCAGCAGTGCAATTGCTGGATCATAGGGTATTTTTAACTTTTTGAGGAACCTCATCCAGAGTGGCTGCACCAGTTTGCATTCCCAACAGTACACAAGGGTTCCTTTTTCTCCACATTCTCTCTAATAGCTGTTGTTTCTTGTATTTTTTATTTTACCCATTCTGACAAGTGTGAGGTGATCTCATTGTAGTTTTGATTTGCATTTCCCTAATGATGAATGCTGATGAGCATCTTTTCATGTGTCTGTTGGCCATGTGTATGAAGTCTTTGGAGAAATGTCTGTGTCTTTTGCCCACTTGGTAATTGGATTATTTGGGTTTTTTGGTGTTGAGTTATATCAGTTCTTTATACATCTTGGATACTAATCCTTTACGGGATATGTCATTTCCAAATACCATCTCCCATTCTGGAGGTTACCTTTTAGTTTTGTTGATTGTTTCCTTTACTGTGCAGAAGCTTTTTATTTTTATGTAATTCCAATAGTTTATTTTTGTTTTTGTTTCTCTTGCCTCAGGAGATATATCTAGAAAGAAGTTGCTATGGCCAGTGTCAAAAAAGTTACCACCTGTGTTCTCTTCTGAGATTTTTGTAGTTTCAGATTTCACATGTAGGTCTTTAATCCATTTTGAATTCATTTTTGTGTATGGTGTAACAAAGTGGTCCAGTTTCATTCTTTTGCACATAACTGAACAACTTTTCCAACACTATTTGTTGAAGAGACAGTCTTTTTCCTATCGGATATTCTCTCCTGCTTTGTTGAGGTTTAATTGACTGTATAATTGTGGGTTCATTTCTGGGCTTTCTATTCTGTTCCACTGATCTGTGTGCCTATTTTTTTGTGCCAGTACCATACTGTCTTAATGATTATAGCTTTGTAAAACAGCTTGAAGTCTGGAATTGTGATGCCTCCAGCTTTGGTTTTCTTTTTTAAAATTGCTTTGGCTCTTCGGGGCCTTTTGTAGTTCCATAAAAATTTTAGCATTGTTTGTTGTAGTTCTGTGATAATGTTGGTATTTTGATAGGGATTGTATTAAATATGTAGACTGCTTTGTGTAGAGTAGACATTTTAACAATATTTACTCTTCCTATCCGTGAGCATGGAATGTCTTTCCATTTCTTTGTCTTTTTTTTAAAATGCTTATTCATTTTTGAGAGAGAATGTGAGTGGGGGAGGGGCAGAGAAAGAGAAGGGCAGAGGATCTGAAGCGGGCTCTGTGCTGACAGCAGCAAGCCCAATGTGGGGCCTCGAAGTCACAAACTGTGTGAGATCATGACCTGAGCTGAAGTCAGATGCTCAACCAACTGAGCCACCCAGGTGCCTGTTTTTCCATTTCTTTGTGTCATTGTCAGTTTCTTTCATTAGTGTTTTATAGTTTTCAGAGTACAGGTCTTTTACCTCTTTGGTTAGGTTTATTTTTAGGTATCTTATTTTTGGTGCAATTGTAAATGGGATTGTTTGCTTAATTTCTGTTTCTGCTGCCTCATTATTGATGTATAGAAATGTAATAGATTTCTCTATATTGATTTTGTATCCTGAGACTTTATTGAATTCATTTATCAGTTCTAGCAAGTTTTTTTGATTGAGTCTTTAGGATTTTCTGTATATAATGTGTCACCTGAAAATAGAGTTTTACTTCTGCCTTACCAATTTGGATGCCCTTTATTTCTTTTTGTTGTCTGATTGCTGTGACTAGGACTTCCAGTACCATGTTGAATAAAAATGGTGAAAGTGGACGTCCTTGTCTTGTTCCCGACCTTAGGGAAAAAGCTCTCAGTTTTTCCCCATTAAGGATGATATTAGCTGTGGGTTTTTCATATATGGCCTTTTTGATGTTGAGGTATATTCCCTCTAAACCTACTTTGTTGAGGGTTTTTTGTCATGAATGGATGTTGTATTTTGTCAAAGGCTTTTTCTGCATCCATTGAAATGATTATATGGTTCCTATCCTTTGCTTGTTGATCTGATGTATCATGTTGACTGATTTGTGAATATTGAACCACCCTTGCAACCCAGAATAAATCCCACTTGATCATGATGAATGATTTTTTTAATGTATTGTTAGATTCGGTTTGCTAATATTTTGTTGAGGATTTTTGCATGTATGTTCATCAGAGATATTGACTTGTAGTTCTGTTTTTTTGTGGTGTCTTTGTCTGGTTTTGGTATCAGGGTAATGCTGGCTTCATAGAATGAATTTGGAAATTTTCCTTCCTTTTCTGTCTTTTGGAATAGTTTGAGAAAAAGAGGTATTAACTCTTTAAATGTTTGGCACAATTTGCCTGGGAAGTCATCTGGTCATGAACTTTTGTTTGTTGGGATTTTTTGATTACTGATTCAATTTCTTTGCTGGTTTTCTGTCTAAATTTTCTATTCCTCCCTGTTTCAGTTTGGTAGTTTATATGTTTCTAGGATTTTTTTTTTTTTACCATTTTATTTAATTTACATCCAAATTAGTTAGCATATAGTGCAGCAATGATTTCAGGAGTAGATTTCTTAATGCCCCTTACCCATTTAGCCCATCCCCCTTCCTACAACCCCTCCAGTAACTCTCTGTTCTCTGTATTTAAGAGTCTCTTATGTTTTGTACTCCTCCTTGTTTTTATATTATTTTTTGCTTCCCTTCCCTTATGTTCACCTGTTTTTTACCTTAAAGTCCTCATATGAGTGAAGTCATATGATATTTGTCTTTCTCTGACTAATTTCACTTAGCCTATGTTTCTAGGAATTTATTCATTTCTTCTAGGTTGACCAATTTTTTGGCATTTAGTTTTACATAATCTTTTACGATTGTATTTCTATGGTGTTGGTTGTTACTTCTCTCTCATTTATAATTTTATTTATTTGAGTCCTTTTCTATTTTCTTGATGAGTTTGGCTAGAGGTT